TGTTAGACAGTGTTCTAGGTTATTACATGCTGAGGTTTTTGGTCCAATAATTAAAACCTCTGTTTTGTCAGAATTTAGCATCTAGTTTTTTATATCAACTATGCATTCTGTTAGTTTTGTGAATTGTAGGTTTCATCGGTCCACAAAGAAATACAGAGCTGAGTATCATCAGCATAACAGTGAAAGCTAATACCATGTTTCCTGATTATATCTCCCAGGGGTAACATGTAAAGTGTGAAAAGCAGCGGTCCTAGTACTGAGCCTTGTGGTACTCCATACTGTACTTGTGATCGATATGATACCTCTTCATTCACCGCTACGAATGGATGACGGACAGAGAAGTAAGATTTGAACCATGAAAATGCAATTCCACTAATGCCAACATAATTTTGTAGTCTATTCAAAAGAATATTGTTGTCGATGGTGCCAAACACAGCACTAAGATCCAGCAGCACTAATAAAGAAATACAACCACGATCAGATGATAAGAGCAGGTCATTTGTAACTCTGATGGGAGCAGTCTCAGTAGTATGATAAGGTCTAAATCCTGACTGAAAATCCTCAGAAGGAACATAGCTGAGAGGATACTGCCTTTTCTAGTATTTTTGACAGAAAATGGAGATTTGAGATCGGCCTGTAATTAACTAATTCTCTATTCTCAAAACTCATCTGTTTAGCTGTGCATTTATTGAATGAGCACTGTGCGATGTCCAAACTGATTGCACTATATTTTATGTATAATCGTGTTCCTAAATTCATTTTAAACCTCTTAAATCAATTTTTTAAATCATTTTCAAAGTTTTTAAATTCCTTGTTTTATTGTTGTGATTTTTTTTCTTTTCTTTTATGTAAAGCACTTAATTACCATTGTGTATGAAATGTGCTATACAAATAAACTTGCCTTGCCCTTGCCTATGATCAAGGTTTTTTAATGAGGCTTAATAAAAGCCAATTTGAAGGTTTTAGGGATATATCCTAAAGACATTGATGAATTAATAATAGTCAGAAAAGGATCTATGACTTCTGGAAACACCTCTTTTAGGAGCTTAGATGGAATAGGGTCTAACAAACATGTTGTTGGTTTAGATGGTTTAACAAGTTTATACAATTCTTCTTCTCCTATAGTAGAGAATGAGTGGAATTGTTCCTCAGGGGATCTATAGCACACTATCTGATGCCTTGTACTGCAGCTGACGGCTGCATGGTTACAATTTTATCTCTAATAGTATCGATCTTGGAAGTAAATAAGTTCAAAGTCATTACTGCTGTGCTGTTGGGAAATGTCTGCGTCTGCTGATGCTTTATTTTTTGTGAATTTAGCCACTGTATTGAATAAATGCCTGGGGTTGTGTTTGTTCTCATCTAAGAAAGACGAAAAGTAAGCAGATCTAGCAGTTTTTAGAGCTTTTCTATAAGTAGAAGTACTTTCCCTCCATGCAACACAAAATACCTCTAGTTTTGTTTTCCTCCAGCTGTGCTCCATTTTCAGGGCTGCTCTCTTTAGTGTTCGAGTGTGCTCATACCATGGTGTCAGACTGTTTTCCTTAATCTTCTTTAAGTGTAAAGGAACAACCGTATCTAAAATGCTAGAAAAGAGAGAGTTTCTGTTACATCATCAAGTTAGGTATTGGATATGCTGAGGAACTGGGATAAATCAGGAAGATTACTTTCAATGCAGTCTTTTGTGGTAGAAGTGATGGTTCTACTATACTTGTAACAAGGAGTAGAATTTACAGTTTTAGCTATATGAAGTTTGCACAAGACTAGATAATGATTTGAGATATCATCGCTTGGCTGCATAATTTCCACACCATCAACATCAATTTCATGTTGACAGTATTAAATCTAGAGTATGATTTCGACAATGAGTAGGTCCTGACACGTGTTGTCTAACCCCAACAGAGTTCAGAATGTCTATGAATGCTGATCCCAATGCATCTTTTTTATTATCAACATGGATATTAAAATCACCAACAATTAAAACTTTATCTGTAGCCAGCACTGACTCTGATATAAAATTAGCAAATTCTTTAATAAAGTCTGTATGGTGGCCTGTACACAGTAGCCAGTAGAAACGTCACGGGGCTTTATCATTAACACTTGTTAGGTAATGTCATTTGAACAACAATTACGTCAAACAAATTATACTTGAAACCAGAGCTCTGAGAAATACTGAAAATATTACTATAAATTATAGCAACACCTCCCCCTTTACCTTTGGATGTGGCTCATGTTTATAACAGTAATCTTGGGGGGTAGACTCGTTTAAAACAATGTAATCATCAGGTTTTAGCCAGTTTTCTGTCAAACAGAGCGCATCTAAGTTATTGTCTGTGATCATCTCATTTACAAAAAGTAAAGTCTCCAGCGCATCCTAAAGAATGTCAGTGGGGTTAAAGGTCATGACTCTGTGGTGAACTCCCTGAATTATTCTTGCACAATTTGTGCCCAATTAAAATTTGACATTGTCATCCTAGAATATGGGATTCGTCTTCATACACAGATGTTTCATAAATGAGCTACATGCTGCATCAGTTAGGAACATGCCAGAAACATTAATCACTGCCATAATGATCCACTCCCAGACACTGAAGTATTTGCTCATTTAAATCAAGAGGTCAGGCAGTGTATTTAGCTAATTACAAATGCTGTATATTAGAGACCGACCGATATGTTTTTTTGGGGGGGGCCGATACCGATATTAGGGAGTTTTAAAAAGGCCGATATTGATATGTTGGCCGATATTCTTTGTGTATATTATAGTACAGTACCAGTCAAAAGTTTGGACACTTTCCCATTCGTGTGTCCAAACATTTGACCGGTACTATATATAGAATACAGTATATACATAAACAGAATATATATAAACAAATGTTTTGCAATGATCACTCAAATGTGGTGATCAAACACATAATGACATGACAGAGATATGTAATGGAGGCAGGGCATTTAACAATTTAACAATAAACTTTATTATCCAAAATGAGTCTGACATCAGTGCACTGAACAGTAAAGTTGAAGTTTATTCAACTTTAATTCAATTCAATTACATTCAACTTTATTCCGGTGAAGTTTTTCACTTCAGAACATTCATTCACATTGCGCTACAGTCTTCACACACAGACGAAACTTACTAGAGAAGTGTGAAGTGTGACATAATATACCTCTGTAAATAAATACAATATAAATAGGGATGCACCGAAATTAAAATTCTTGGCCGAAGCCAAAACCGAACAAAATTAAACACTGGGCCGAAGGCCGAATACCGAACAAGGTTTTTCAAGTTTTTTTCCCCCATGTATTTTGCCCAAAAAAATTTCACCATTGCATAAATTAAAAAGTCAAAATGTGCTTTTTACTGTTTTGTCTTGCTTT